CTTCGTACATACATAAGATCTATATATTCCCACCACAACTTTGTCAGCTAAAATAAAACCTGACAATAGGAAACCTCATCCAACACTGACTCTGGACTATCTCTGTGAGTGAGTATTTATTTTCTTAAAAGATACAAACAGAAAAGCAGTTATCAGGGCCAGTGTTGTGCTACAGAGGGTTAAGCTGCCGCTTGTGACACTGGCATCCCCTAACAGAGTGCAGGTTCTAGTCCCAGCTGCCCTACCTCTGATCCAGCTTTCTGCCAATGCACCTAGGAATTCAGTGGATGATGACCTGAATTCTTTGGCCCTTGTCACTCATGTGGAAGACACAAATGAAGTTCCAGGATCCTGGCTTCAGCCTGGATCAGATTTTGCAGCTATTTGAGGCAAACCAGTGGATGAAAGACTTTCTCTCTCTCTCTCTCTCTCTCTCTCTCTCTCTCTCTCTCTCCCTATCACTTTGCTCTCCAAAGAAATAATGATTTTTTTTAAGCTAAAAGGTAAGTTTATTGTGTTTCAAACAAATTTGAAACACAGGCAGTTTTTCATAATACACATTTTTCATGAATTTTCTGAATGTTGTCTGTGTGATATAATTTTGTCCTCATAAGAATATTTTGAGTTAAATTAAGCAATATTCCTAATGTTAAACATAAATTTCAAGTCAGAATATACTAATAGGGTTTACAAGGCAATAGAATTAACATTATAATTACTGAACTGAAAATGAGTTAACAAAATGATGTTTCAGTTCATGTTTCTTAAATATTCATTATACCTATGAATTTAGCGATATTGTACAGATTGTGTAATATTCCTAAATTTACATAATAACTTATTTATTAAATTTAACAAATATCTGTTGAGGCATTACTATAACCTGTCAGAAACTATTCTAAAGATTTTTTTTTATTTTTTTCAACTTTTATTTAATAAATATAAATTTCCAAAGTACAACTTTTGAATTATAGTGACTTTTCCCCCCATAACCTTCCTCCCACCCGCAACCATACCATCTTCCACTCCCTCTCCCATCGCATTCTTCATCAAGATTAATTTTAGAAATAATGATTTGTTTAAAGAAAAGATCATGAAAAATTGGAATTAAAAAATAAGAAGCAACCAGCTCTGTTATATATTAATGTTAGCCGTTGCAAAACACACCAAACACCGGAGTAAGAGAAAGGGTTTATTGGGGAACACCCAACAGACCGGAGTGAAGGGGCGGCGAAGGAAAAAGAGAAGGAGACTATAAGAGAGAGAGACAGAGAGGAGGGAGAAGAGAGACAAGAGGAGGAGAAGAGCAAGAGGGCAGAGATCAGAGCCAAGAGCCAAGAGAGCACGTGTTCAGGAACAGGCCCTTTTAAAACTTTGCCTGAGGGCGGGCAGGGAAGCAGGAGCAGTGAATCCCATTAGGATGGGGGTGGAGCCTGGCTCAGGTAGCTGGGCCATGCGGCCACCTGGCTAAAACTGCGCCAGTTTCCTAACATTCCCCCCTTTTGTTTTTTATAAAGCAGGATTTGTATGGGATTAACATTAGTCCAGTTTCCTAACAAGCTCCCCTCCCCATCAGGAGTTGTCTATCATACATGATCTAGTGTAATAGGGGTTCTTCCAAATATTAAAGAAAGTGCTTTGTGTACTATTTCCCAAAACTTGAATTAATGCATATGCAAATAAGACTCTTTCCTCCTTGCAAGGGGCCCCAAATTTTATATATATATATGTTTTTATATATACATATGTTTGTGGGAGCTTTGTCTGTGTGTGTGTATGTATTTTTTTTCAATTTTAGCCCACAAAATCTGAAGCTAGAACCTCCAACAATCTCGTGAGAGGAGCAGTGAGGTGGAAGCACACAGTCTGTGGGGCAAAGATGTGATTTTTTTTTTAAATTTATTTATTTGACAGGTGGAGTTATAGTGAGAGAGAGAGAGAGAGACAGAAAGGTCTTCCTTCCGCTGGTTCACCCCCCAAATGGCCGCTACGGCTGGCGCTGCACCGATCCAAAGCCAGGAGCCAGGTGCTTCTCCTGGTCTCCCATGGGGTGCAGGGCCCAAGCACTTGGGCCATCCTCCACTGTACTCCCGGGCCACAGCAGAGAGCTGGACTGGAAGAGGAGCAACTGGGACTGGAATCCGGCACTCACGTGGGATGCTGGAGCCGCAGGCGGAGGATGTGATTTGATACCTGGGAGGCAATAGCTGGGTGGCCCCAAGGCCTAGAAGAAATGAAATCATAAGAATGTGGTCTCCCTGCAGGGATACTCAGGGTTCTCAGGACAGAGGGATGCAGGGCATTTAAAAATATCGCCTTGGTTTTTAGAATTCCATCTGCTTCACTATTCCACTGCAAGTGTTGGGAACAAGCCACATGTTTATATGGTGTTTTCCTCTGGGTGTGGTCCTGGGCCCACAGTACCTCATCTGAGGAGTAGGTCAAGAATGCAGCTTCCCAGGCCCACCCAGCATAGATCTGTCAGGTTCTGCATTTCAAGGAGACCCCTGAGAAAGACCTCCGACCCTGAAGACAGGTTCTGAGTTCCACCTCAGTGAATCTTCCCTTAAGTTTGAGACCCTTGGGCCAAGAAGAGAAAGAGATAGAGAGACAGAGATCTTCCATTGCTCGCTCATTTCCCAAATGTCCTCAACAGCCTAAACCGGACCAGACTGAAGCCTGGAGCCAGTAACTCAGTGTGGGTCCCCCATCTGAGGGACCTAAGTACTTGGGTCATCACCTGCTGCTTCCCAGGGCATACATTAGCAGGAAGCTGGAATTGGAAGTGAAGCTGGGATACAAACCAGGCACTCCAGTAATGGATGCAGGCATCTCAAGTTCTGTGCCAAATGCCTGCTGCTATTTTTATTGTTGTTTTTGTTTTTAAGATTTTATTTATTTATTTGAGAGGCAGAGTTACAGGCAGAGAGAAAGGTTTTCCAACACTGGTTTGCTCCCCAAATGGCCACAATGGCCAGAGCAGAGCCAATCTGAAGTCAGGAGCCAAGAGCTTCCTCCGGGTCTCCTACATGGGTGCAGGGGCCCAAGGACTGCAGGCCCACGGACTTCCAGGCCTTCAGCAGGGAGCTTGATTGGAAGTGGAGCTGTTGGGACTTGAATTGGCACCCATATGGGATGCCAGCACAGCAGGCAGAGGCTTAGCCTACTGTGCCACCGTGCCAGCCCCTGCCCCTATGTTTTAAGGTATAATTTACATACATTGAAAAGCACAAATTACCAGGACCTTTTTCTTCTTATCTAAAGCCCCATCTTTTTCAGCAAAAGTCAGGCTCTATTGCCTCTTGAATGGAACTGCTTTCCACGGATTTCCTGCTGTTTCCTGCCCTGAGTTGAATCATTCTTCCCTTGATTTACATTTGGCTAGGAGAGGAGGGCTGCCTTTTCAGAAAAGGTATCAAGTCTGGCTGCTGCACTGTTAACTCACTCACCCATGAAATGCAGGCATGCCCTTGCAAACAATCCTTGGGGCCAGTAGTCAGGAGCTCCCCTCCAAAAGTGAAGCTCAGAAACACACCCCCCCACACACTGCCACCAGCCTTGCAGCCTCCCCCAGACTCAATGCTCATTTACTTAGTCCTACTATGTGCCAGCTAGTTGCCTATACTTCAGTGCACCTCAAAGAGATCCAAACTCCTAAGACTCTCATTTCCCTTTACAAGCTGGAAAAGAAAATATAAACTTGTCTTCCATGTCCGTGCAGGAGATGAGTCAGCAGAACAGGAAATTCTCCTTGCACAAGCCCTGCTGATCCGTGGGTTGGGTGTGTGTGGTATGGGCTGAGGGTAGGGAAGGGAGCCGGCTGCTCCTCAGAAGCCATTCAGAGAGGTGAACAATGCAAGTTGGCTGGTGAGTTGAGGACTGTTGACACACACCTTGCCAATTAGAATTGTCCCAGCATGTTTTGGGGAAAGCTCAGCTGCTTCCAAATAAGGAACAGGACAAATAAAGAAACTGGTTGTTGTTGCCAATGTCTGGGTGGCTTCAGAATGAGAGGTTAGAGGAGTTAACTAGTGATGAAACAAGATGCGCACCAGCCCAGCTTTCAGGGACATTTAAGGAAAGAAGTGACTTAAGGTGGGTTTCAAGGAAGGCCCTTAAATGCCCTAAAGCCCCAGGGAAACAAGTAAGCACGTGGAGTGAGTTGCAAAAGAAAAAGAATTTTGGAGTTAGAAATGTCTGCAGGGGGAAGCCAGGACTTGACCAATCTCTAACAACCGTCCACTGAGGAGACCGACATTCAAGTACGGATGTTGCTTCTAACTGGCTGAGACCTGAGCTGAATCATTTAATCTCTACAGCCTTCCCTGCCCCTCCCCCACCCCCACTTTCTCATTTGCAAAAAGAAAGCACTACACACAAGGAGCTCTTCCATTTCTAATATCCTGCAGTCCTGTTGAAAAACCAGATTGGGTTAGCATTAACCCCACTCTCTCCTTTCCTCCCTTGGCTTTGCAGGAAGAAACAGCTGAGGGGGGCTGTTAGCTAAGCCAGGACTCCAGCATAACTCTTCTGTGGGAATCCAGCCTTGGGGTGTGTGCGCGCACATTTCTATTAATATTAGGCGGGGCAGCAAAGACAGCTTGGCTGTGTAGAGGGAAAAGAAGCATTCAGCCGGCATTCAGCGTTTCAGCTTTGCAGCCGAAAGTGTGCAGCCTGGAGAGGGGAGATTTTGCATACAACAAGGAGGTGGGGGAGGAATAAAGGAGCTCAGATTCCAGAACCGAATTTAAAAAAAAAAAAAAAAAAAAGGATGAGAATGCAGTTAGAAGGGTAGGCTGAGAAGGAACCGAGAAGTAAAAACTGCTGGCGCTTTTAAACAGGGTGTAGCCAGAGCTGATAAAACCTTACCCTTCCACTCCCACTGCCTTTTTAAATCCGTCAGGCCTTCCTCTCACCCCGCTGGGACCCATTCTAAATTCTTTCAAGGCTCCACTCCCTCCCCCACATTCCCCCCTCCTCCAGCAGAGAAATTATATAGGAGCCGGGGAGGAAGTGACACATTTTCCTGCTTGAATGGAGCAGGCCCCTGCAGCGGCGACTTGGCCTTCGTCAGCAGTCTTATCTCGGGCCCGCCATCGCAGGCGCCTGGTTCCTCATACAATGCTTTCCTCTGGCTGAACCCTTCGAGATGACTGCAAAGCTTTGGAAAGCTCCATGTCAGAGATTCGCGGCATCCGTGCCTGATTCAAGTTCTCAAATGCAACTTCCAGTAATCATCAGACACAGGTAGTGCCCAGAGCTTTGCTGGACAAATGAACTTGTTCTGCCCCTCCTGTTGTGTGGGGTCCTTGGGAGGTGGGGTCAGAGAATCACAAGGTTTGCAGTCTTTGAAACCTAAATTTTCATGCCTGCTCAATCACTTCCTCTCTGGGTGAACTTGGGCAAATTACCAGCCCTCTGAACCTCTGTATCTTCCTCTGTGAAAGGAGGGGAGGGAGATGGGGAATAATTATCTTGCAGGTCCTTCCAGGGATTTAATAAAAGACTGGACATGATTTTCTGAAAGTATTGCAAATATGCAAGGTGTCCGGAGATCCCGAAGCTACCAAGATACAGTAAGAAGCCTGTTCCCTTGTATCCGTCTTCTTGGACATCCCCACCTGCTATTCCAACCCCCATGGCTATTTGTCCACTCTAAGCCTAGCACTTAATTTTATGAAGTTATAGTACAGTTTCTTCAGTGACTCCAGAAATTAAATCAGTATTCTAGTCTAACACCTCACTGGTAACTTCCAAAATGACTAAATGTGACAGTATCAGGATAATGAAACTACATAAAAATGAATTATGAGGTTAAAAGCAACGTAGGCAACAATGGCCTCTGGTCATCCCTGTCTGGCTACTGCTTTTGCCTTGCCTAGTGTGTATCTGTATTCTTTCTAGGATTTATCAGAGGAGGATTCTTCAACAAGTTCACGATGAATGGAATTAAAAGATAAGTTTATTTTGGTGCACAAAATATGGAAATGCATGCATAATTTTTCATAATACACATTCATATGAACTTTTTGAAGACTCCATATGCATAGATTTCAAGTTTTTTTTGCACTGAAATAAACTTATCTTTTAATTCAATTTCCCTTGAACTTTTTGAAGTATGTTGTATCGTGTTGTAATTATCTGTTTCCATACAGGTCCCACTAGTCTGCTCCTTCAGCGAAGGGATGATGCCTGCTTTATCTCCAGAATTTAGCTTAACAAAAAACCTGGCAGGTCCATAGGATGATTTAACGGATTACTTTGAACCAGCCACTGAACTGACAGATGAGGATCCCTTCTGCTCACTGATACAGTTCCTGCCTGTAGAATAGTGCTTTGCACATTGTAGGCACTATTAAAAGACAAAAGATTAGCTTTTCAGGTCTTAATTAGCTTTATTTGTGATTCTAGAATTGATCAGCAGTCTGAACCAGGAATGATTTAGAATGCTCCACCGTATCAATATGGGCAGGTTATATTTAAGGGCAGGAAAAGGATGTGACATTCAGAAAATGGAAGTGAGGTACAGAGACAGCCCCATTGGTTATAGCTCAGTCTGTCTCATTAGAACATGGTTATTAGCAAATGGCCACTTGTGATTGGCTGAGACCCAGCTTACGGGAGTAAATTATAGTCTGTTTACGTATCAAGTCAGGCTATATTTCACTAGGTATGACAAAACCTTTGAGCCAAACTTTTTTTTTTTTTTTTTTTTTTTTTTTTTGACAGGCAGAGTGGACAGTGAGAGAGAGAGACAGAGAGAGAAAGGTCTTCCTTTTGCCGCTGGTTCACCCTCCAATGGCCGCCGCTGCAGCCGGCGCACCGCGCTGATCCTGGCAGGAGCCAGGAGCCAGGTGCTTTTCCTGGTCTCCCATGGGGTGCAGGGCCCAAGCACCTGGGCCATCCTCCACTGCACTCCCTGGCCATAGCAGAGAGCTGGCCTGGAATGAGCCAAACTTAAAATATGTATGGAGACAGCTTTAGGACAAACCTAATTCAACAGCACTTAGTAGACAGTATTGAACACTTCCCACCTTCCTGGGCCTCACACTTCCTATCCAGGTGAGCAAAGTTCTGTGTATAGACACAGAACTAGTGCTTCTCAAATCCTGCTTCTCCAATTAGCCACAGCAGAACTGGACAGGGATTAGAAAATATACCAATCTTTGCACTCCAGTCCTGAATAATTCCGTAGGTCTGGAGTTGGGCCTATACATTTAAGAAAGATTTTCTAGATGATCCCTACATGGAGCAAAACAGATATTACAGATATTCCTGACAGTTCTTAGAAATATGATTCTATACATAATTTTGTCTCCTTTCAGAAGGCTCCAGTTCATAGATCAGTTTACTATCTAGAGCTTAATTTAAACAAATGATGCCAGGGTGGGAGCTGTGGCACAGTGGGTTATGCCACTGCCTGTGGTACCAGCATCCCATACAGCTGCCAGTTCAAGTCCTGTCTGTTCCACTTCTGATCGAGCTCCCTGCTATTAAATAAATAGGTCTTTAACAAAATTTAAAAATAAACAAATGATGCTTCAGGCAGACTAGAAATCATGTACCCCTAAACTGGTATTTTTTTAAAAGATTTATTATTTATTTTGAAAGAGTTACAAAAGGAGGGAGAAAGAGAGATCTTCCATTCTCTGGTTCATGCCTCAGGTGGCCACAACAGCCAGTGAGGCCCAGGCTAAATCCAGAAGCCAAGAGCTTCATCCAGATCTCCCACATGGATGGCAGGGGCCCAAACACTTGGGTCATCTTCCACTGCTTTTTCCAGGCTACGAGCAGGGAGCTGGATCAGAAGTGGAGTAGCCAGGACTCAAACTGGTGCCCAATGGGATGCCAGCATTGTAGGCAGAGGCTTTACCCCTTGTGCCACAATGTCAGCTTCCTGGTGTGTATGTGTGTGTGTGTGTGTGTGTGTGTGTGTGTGTATTTAAGATGTATTTATTTATTTGACAGGCAGAGTTACACAGAGAGGGAGAGACAGGGAGGAAAGTCTTCCATCTGCTGGTTCACTCCCCAAATGACCACAACAGCCGGAGCTGAGCCAATCTGAAGTCAGGAGCAGGAGCTTCTTCCAGGTCTCCCACAAGGGTGCAGGGGTCCAAGCACTTGGACTATCTTCTACGTTTTCCCAGGCCATAGCAGAGAGCTGGATCAGAAGAGGAATAGCTGGGACTAGAGCTGGCACCCATATGGGATGCCGGCGTTTCAGGTCAGGGCTTTAACCTGCGGCGCCACAGCACTGGCCCTGTCCTGGTGTGTGACAGGCAGAGTTAGACAGTAGAGTTAGACAGTGAGGGAGAGAGACAAAGTGAAAGGTCCTCCTTCCATTGGTTCACTCCCCCAATGGCTGCCACAGCCAGCGTGCTGTGCCAATCTGAAGCCAGGAGGCAGGTGCTTCCTCCTGGTCTCCCATGCAGGTGCAGGGGCCCAAGCACTTGGGCTATCCTCCACTGCCTTCCCGGCCACAGCAGAGAGCTGGACTGGAAGAGGAGCAACTGGGACAGAATCCGGCACTCCAACAGGGACTAGAACCCGGGGTGCCAGCACCGCAAGTGGAGGATTAGCCTAGTGAGCCGCGGCACTGGCCATCCTGCTATATATTTTTAAAAACATATATTTAGAGTTCTAGCATAACTTTTTTTTGAAAATTTCTTTTTTTAAAAATATTTGATTCATACATAAAAATTATACATAGTTATGGGACACAGTGTGATGTTTTGATACAGGTATATATCTTGTAATGCTCAGTTGAGGATAATGACCATCTCCATCACCTAAAAGATTTATTATTTCTTTGTGGTAAGAATATTCAACATCTTATTTTCTACCTATTTTGAAATATATGGCATATTATTGACAGAACTGATTTTTAAATAAATAAATACATGCAGAATTCTTAGTGTTCAAAATAAGAGATTTATTCCCTACAATTTTTTTCCTGAATTTCTGAACCAGGCAACTTCTTAGGAAGCAGAGAGCATAAATAAAAAGAGTTGTTCCAGGTAAATAACATGGTGTTATCCATTATTCAGGCACTATCAGCTGGCTGCCTTCAAGAAAGGGCCGAACGACTTTTCTCCTGACCTCACATACATGTGTCAGAGAGGGCTAAACAGACCTGGGAAGGCTTTCCTTTTTTACTGAAGGGCACTCTGTACTTTGGTGGTAAGAGGACCTATTTAAATTCCACCAACTGGGTAAGAAATCTGCATTAACTGGATGACATTGTTCAACTTCTTCCAGTGACAGTTTAACACACCTTTTAGATTGATGTCCCAGGTGCCCCCTGGCTAGCCAGCCCTTTAGGCATTAGATGGAAAAAGATCACTTCTATGCTCCCATAAATATCTTTTCTCTTTCTCCTAGGTCCATGTTTTGGGCATCATCTATTGCACAGCTGTGCAACTGAAGGAGGGGAGATCAAGCGTGGAGGAGGGAAGCAGGACTATTTTGAACTGGATCAAATATCCCCCACCTCCAGTCAGTGATAAAGGTATCTGCTGCTATGGTTGAATATGGTTTGTGTCCCCCATTAAGGTTTATGTGCTGGGAGGTGGGAGCTAGAAGATATTGGAGGCCTGCCCTTGGCAGGTAGTTCTCACAGGACTTCTTTTTTTTTTTTTTTTTTTTCATTAATTAATTATTTTTAAGGAATACAAATTGCATAAATAAAACTTTAGGAATATAGTTATTCCTCCCACCATACTGCCCTCCCACCCATACTCCCACCCCTCCTTCTTCTCCCTCTCCCCTTCCCAGTCCCATTCTCCATTAAGATTCATTTTCTTTTTTTGGGGGGGGCATCCTCCACTGCACTCCCAGGGCCAAAGCAGAGAGCTGAACTGGAAGAGGGGCAACCGGGACCAGAACCCAGCGCCCATATGGGATGCCAGCGCTGCAAATGGAGGATTAGCCAAGTGAGCCACGGCACCGGCCCCTGTGGAAGCCTTTTGAACCCACCAACTCCGCACAGGACTTATTGACAGTTCTCCTGAGAGGTCTGTTATAAAAGCCCACATTTGTCCCCACCCAACCTTTCTGCTCCTGGTTACAGACGTAATCACTTGCTTTCTCCTGGATGCACACCTGCCATTGCTCCATGTGCCATGAGATAATGTAGCCAAGGAGCACACTGCAGAGCATTCCCTAAGCCATTTGGACTTTGAACCCCTAATACTATGAGCTAAATAAACCTCTTCTTCCTAAGTAGCCTATGTCAAGTATTTCATGATAGTGAGAGCATAGTGGACAAGATTCTGAAACCCTTCGTGGGCGGAGGGACAAGATGGAGAGTCAGAAACACGAGCACTGGGATTGGCATTTGGCCCAGTGGTTAAGACACCAATTGAGATTTCCACATTCCTTATCAGAGTGCCTGGGTTTTGGGTCCTGGCTCCATTTCTTTCTTCCTTTCTTCCTTCCTTTCTTCCTTCCTTCCTTCCTTCCTTTCTTCCTTCCTTCCTTCCTTCCTTCCTTCCTTCCTTCCTTCCTTCCTTCCTTCCTTCCTTCCTTCCTTCCTTTCTTCCTTTCCTTCCTTCCTTCCTTCCTTCCTTCCTTCCTTCCTTTCCTTCCTTTCCTTCCTTCCTTCTTTCTTTCCTCCTTCCTTCCTTCCTTCCTTCCTTCCTTCCTTCCTTCCTTCCTTCCTTCCTTCCTTCCTTTTATTTTTTTTATTTTTTGACAGGCAGAGTTTGACAGTGAGAGAGAAAGAGACAGAGAGAGAGTTATAGACAGTGAGAGAGAGAGAAAGGTCTTCCTTCTGTTGGTTCACTCCTCTAATGTCCTCCCGGTCTCCTATGTGGGTGCAGGGACCCAAGCATTTGGGCCATCCTCTGCTGTCCTCCTGGGCCACAGCAAAGAGCTGGACTGGAAGAGGAGCAACCAGGACTAGTACCCGGCACCCCAACCGGGACTAGAACCCGGGGTGCCGGCACTGCAGGCAGAGAATTAGCCAAGAGAGCCATGGCGCCAGTCCTGGCTCCATTTCTGATTCCAGCTTCCTGCTAATATACAACCTAGGAAGCAAGCAACAGCTCCAAGTAGTTACATCTCCGTCACCCAAGTGGGAGATTTGGTTTGAGCTCCCAACTCCTGGCTTCAGCCTTGTCCAGTCCCTGCCATTGCCAACATTTGGAGATGTGAACTAGCAGATGGGAGTGCTCTCTCTCTTTCTCACTCTCTCTCCCCCTCTCAAATAAATAAATAAATCAATATTTAAAAAGTGTGTGTACAAAGAAATGCAAAGTCTGTGAGCAGATAATATCACAAACATGTTGATGACAGGCAAGCATAATGCCACCCAAGTAAGGATGGGACAAAGATGTTGTCATCAGTTTAACCATACAAGTATGTTCATAGCTATTCTTTTTCTTTTCTATTTTGATCAAAAAAGTTTGTAGTTTTTACATTGTCAACTGAACAACAATCTTGTGACATTTCACAGCATATAAGCAATTCAGCAAACTTTTGACAGTTTAGAAACATACTTAGGTTCTGTGGGACGGTGATGGGCTGCACGTCTGCCATTCCATCCCCCCATGGTTTGTTTATGTCACTATGTGGCTTCGGTCAAGATCAATAACTTGGCTGCAAGGTCCCCAAAGATGTTCTGCTTAGTGGCAGGGGTGGGCATATCCTTCAACACTGCTGCCCTTGGGGGTACTGAGGAGAAGCTGTCTAGTGAGTCACTGGGAGTGCAAGTGTATGCCACTGAGTTAGAGAAGAAAATTCAGGACTCAACAGTGAAATTCTTCTAATTCAGTGCAAAGCTTTGATGGATCGAAAACATGAGGCACACATGAATACAATAGCGCTTCCATCCATTTTTAGGAGTTGCAGTAACACGATGGAGATAAGAGTCTTAACTTTGCCATGAAGACCATTTCTGTGGAAGGACAGAAGTTCACTCTGAAGACAGCCAAGGTTCTTACTCTTTGAGAACCAAAGCCATAAAGCACGTTTCCATGTATCGCCTGTAGGAAGTGGCTCCTTTGGGAACAAGAACGACTCTTCCTTAGCATGGAATCACCCATGCAGTACCTCCTGATGGGTAAAAAAAAAAAAGGCACATATTTCATAACAGCACTTTTAGACTTCCTTCATGGGGATTCAGTTACTCACAAAGAAGACTGAGGCTAGGGCTGGTGTTGTGGTACAGCCAGTTAAGCTGCCACCTAACCCACCGCTTATGATGCCAGCATCCTTTATTGGAGTGCCGGTTGAGTCCCTACTGCTCTTTCTGCTGCAGCTTCCTGCTAATGTACCTATGAAGGCAGCAGAAGATTGTCCAAGTGCTTGGGCTCCTGCCACCCACTTGGGAGACCTGGATGGAGTCCTGGCTCCTGGAGTCAGCCTGGCCCATCCCTGTACTTTGCAGCCCTTTGAGGAGTGAATCACAGAATGGAAGCTCTCTCTCTCTCTCCCCCTGTAACTCTGCCTTTCAAATAAATGAACAAGTCATTAAAAAAGATGAATACTGAGGCTGAATCTTCCAGGTAAAACCAAAACAGCCTGTTTGGCATCTTCAAAGTTGAGAGTCACAAAAAGCATTGTCTCCCAAGAGCACTTAGAACACAGTTTGTGTTCTCAGCAGCAACTTTTAAGTGACTTGAAACCTGTGAATAAACAGAAATACTGGAGAGAGCAGCAGGAGGAAGGGTGAGGGAAAGGTCGATTACTGGGTACTGAGTTACAGTTAGGCATAAGAAGTTTGGGGTTCTATTTCAAAGTAGGATGACTATAAACAAGGATGGTGTGCTGTATATTTCTCTAAAAAGAAATTAGTAGAAAGGATTTTGAATGTTTCCACCATAAATAAATGTTAAATGTTTGGGATGGATATGTTTACAGAACTGGACATTACACAATGTATGCATGTATAGAAACATCACGTGGTACTCCATAAATATGCGCCATTTTTGTACATAAGTTAAAATAAAGGAAAATGATAGAACATATTTCATTGTATCCTACTCCAGTTCCCTTGATTGTAGAATTGTCTTTCTAATACTGCCAATTGGGCTATTGTCATCCTAAATTTCTTGCTCAGCAGTAACAAGACTGAAAAGCAGCACTGGCTTTGCAACAATGAATTTTTTCAAAACCTCTACTCACTGGCCAGTCCACTATCTCCTTTCTGTGACACTTAGTTAAGGATGGACCCTGAAGCCAGATTGTCAGGGTCTGACCCTCAACTCTTACATTCCTTAGCTGGGGACCTTGTTGAGTTACTAATGCCCTCTGTGATTCTATTTTATTACCTATAAAATGACTGTAGTAGCACCTACATCATAGGGTTGTTGTGAGACATGAGCGAGTTAATATAGTGAAGCACCACATAATGGAATTTTGGCCAATGACAGGCCACGGTGTTTGACAAGTGGTCCTACAAGATGTCATCTAGTGACATCGTAGCTGTGGTATTGTAGCTTAGCACATTGCTCATATCTTTGTGATGGTGCTGGTGTAAACACATCTATTGAGTTGACAGTTGTATAAAAGTACAGTACATATACTTACAAGAGTACTTCAAAAAGTTTGTGGAAAATTGGAATTAAAAAAAGAATGTATCTTTTCCATGAATTTTTGGAAGAACCCTCATGTGTGTATAGCATGTAATACTGGATAGTGATAATAAATGACTATGTTACTGGTCTGTGTATTCACTCTGTTATATTCTTCATTGTTGTCTTAGAGTAGTCCTTCTACTTAAAAAGCAGAATTATCAGTATGCCATGTTATCCAGGTAACAGCCTTAGCAGCTCATGCTTACCACATCTCATGATTGCATACACTAAACTGTATTTTAATGTGTTTGCTACACTATATATTTTATTGTATATTAGAATGTGCTCCTACTTATAAAACAAGTTTCTTGCAAAACAGTTTGCAGTATTGTGCTGGCAGTACCTCAGGCATCTCACATTTACTGTGTCTCTTGATTGCATCAAGAAGCTACTTTGAGTGCTTGACCACACCATCTATACAAGTTCATGGTATGATGCTTGTGCAGCAACAAAATAATTTAATGATGTTGTCTCAGAATGTGTCTTAGTTGGGGGCTGGTGCTGTAGCCAGTGGATTAAAACCATGGCCTGCAGTGCTGGCATCCCACATGGGAGCCAGTTTGAATCCTGGCAGCTCCACTTCCAATCCAGCTCCCTGCTAATGTGCCTGGGAAAAGCCGTGGAGGATGGCTCAAGTCCTAGGGCAACTGCACCCACATGGGAGACCCGAAGGAAGCTCCTGGCTCCTGACTTCGGCGTGCCCTAGCTCCGTTGTTGTGGCCATTTGGGGAGTGATCCAGCGAATGGAAGATCAATCAGTCTCTCTCTCTGTGAGTGTGTCTCTCTCAGTAACTCTGCCTTTCAAATAAAGAAATAAATAAATCTTTAAAAAAAAAAAAAAAGAATGTGTCTTAATGGGTTCAGCATTGAAGTGCAACATGTTAAGCTGATGCCTGCAATGCCATCATCCCATGAGAGTGCTGGTTCAGTCTGAGCCTGGATGCTTTTCTTCTGGTCCAGCTCCCTGCCATTGTGCCTGGGAAAGCAGTGGAAGACAGCCCAAGTGATTGGGCCCCTGCCACCCCCATGGGAGACCCAGATGGAGTTCCAGGCTCCTAGCTTCAGCCTGGCCCAGCCCCAGCTGTTGAGGCTATTTGGGGAGTAAACCAGAGGATGGAAATTTTTCTTTCTGTCTTTCCCTCTCTCTCTGTAACTCTGCCTTTCAAATAAATAAATAAATCCTTTAAAAAAAAAAAAAAGTAAGAATGTGTCCTATTGTTAAGCAACATGTGACAGTTTATGTAAAGGGCTTACATCATTGTTAGCAAGTGCAGGGGAGGTATCAGCAGCTTCTATTGCTGTAGTTCTTCCTTTCCCAGAGCACCCAATTCATTTAGTGAGCTCCATGAGCAGAAACTAGCCATGCTGATGCTTGACATGGCGTTCCCATGGGACAAAATGGGCAGTATTGACCCAATTTAATCAGGGCATGGGGCCTAATAAAAATATAGCACTTCATTCTAAGTGATACTTTTAACAAGGAAGACTGATTGATGGGAACTAATCTTCAAGGGCCAGTATTCTACCAACACAAAGATATTTGTTATCTCAGCCAAGTAATCTCATCTGATCTTTTTCTCTCTAACAAATCAGCAGTTTGTGATATATTGGACCATGGACCCCTTTAAAAATCTTAGGAAAACTATGTATTCCCTGGTCAGAACAGTGCATGTTCACATATGCACAGAGTATTTTGCTTGAAATAGCCCAAGAATCACTGACCTCAATTTAGGATTTCCGTGCATATACTTGGGAGAATTTGAAAGGAAAGTTCTGGAACTGAGCTTCTTTCCAAAATTATCTGAGGCTCATCTCCATGGTGACTGTTCAAAATGCCAAGTTCCAGGGCCACACCTTCTTTAGATGAGGCTCAGGATCCAATTATTGTTGCTGTTATTTTTAACTTCTCTCCTTGCCGTGGTTCTCAGCCTTGTCTATATGTTATTCACATATGGAGACTTAAAAGCTCAATGTCCAAGTGACACTGCAGGCCAAACAAATCAGAATTTCTGCAGAGTAGGACCCAAGCATCAGCTTGTTGAATTCTCAGATGAGCTGATGTTCAACCAAAGTTGGGAAACAGCTCTAATGCCTACTTTATAAATGAGACACTCATTCAGTTGATCTGGACATTCCAGCCTCTTGCGACTCCCGGTATTTTCCTTTCTGAATCTTTTTCTGTGCATGCATATTTCTCTATAAGCTGATAATTGGCTTTCATCTATATGTTTTAGGGTGTAACTAAGACGTCCATTGTTCAATGACCACTTAAGAGCCTTTATTTAACCCAGAGGTTATGATGGAGAGCCAAAGTAACAGAAGAACAAAAGCTGCTCTGGATCATTAAAACCGTCAAACCTCATGAGTTTGTTACACCAAAAGAGCAGAAGACAGAGAGGAGGTGGTAGCAAAAAAAAAAAAAAAAAAAAAAAAGCTGATTTTTTTGAAGAGGTAGATGACTCAATGAAATCTGCATGAGCAAAGTCCAGAGAAAAAGGCAGAAACATCTAAGGAGTGACGTTCCTTTTACTGTAGGAGGTGAAAACCAAGTAGGTGGGATTGAGTGGGCCACAAAAAAAGAACTTTTCCCCCCTGTGGAATCATAATTTTAGAACTAGAAAAGACCACTGAGACATTCTAGTCCTATTTCTTTCATTTTATAGATGAGAAAGCAATGCAGGTCTCAGCTGGTAGAAGCAGGTCAGGCACAGCTTGGATCTCCTGAATTACAGTGTACTCTCACCATCTTCTCATTTTTATGTTTTTAAGATTTACTTACTTATTTGCAGGGCTGGTGCTGTGGCATAGTGGGCTAAAGCCTCTGCCTGTGGCGCCAGCATCCCATATGGGTGCTGGTTCATATCCTGGCTGCTCCTCTTCCAATCCAGCTCTCTGCTATGGCCTGGGAAAACAGTGGAAAATGGCCCAAGTGCTTGGACCCCTGCACCAATGTGGGAGATCCAGAAATATACCTCCTGGCTCCTGGCTTCGGATCGGCTCAGCTCAAGCCCTTGAGGCCATTTGAGGAGTGAACAAGTGTACAGAAGACCTTTCTCTCTGTCTCTCCCTCTCTGTCTGTAACTCTCTCTCTCAAATAAATAAATAAATATAAAAAAAGAACTCTGATTTGCAGGAGAGTATGCGTATCCTTATCTTTAAGGAAAAAAAAGATTTATTTACTTATTTGAAAAAGCAAAGTAACAGAGAGAAGGAGAGGCAGAGATAAAGAGACATATTCCGTCTACTGGTTTGTTACCCAAATGGCCGCAACAGCCAAGGTTGGACCAAGCTGAACCCAGAAGCTACGAACTCCATCTGGGTCTACCACATGGGTGGAAGGGGCCCAAACATTTGGGCCGTCAAGAAGCCACAACTTGTTAGTGTGGACATTCAGGGAGTGAACCAGTAGATGGAAGATGTCTCTGTCTCTCTCATTCTGTTGCTCTGCTTTTCCCAAGTAAAAATAAAGTCTACCAAATATTGGTCATCTATGGTAAATATACCATACCTCTAGACAGTTTTCTGTAGGCGTTATTTTTATGTTTCTGTGTTAAGAATTTACTCTTCTAGGACCTTCCAAGAATAGAGTGCCATTTCCTCAAATGAGAGGAATGCTGTTTCCAAAACGGTTGGTCGAGAGGTACAAGGTAGCTACACGAGATATTTGATGAGCCCCTTTATAATCCTCTCTGCAGTAATAGGGACAGAATTTCTGTTATAAACTCTTGAGATCAGCTTTTAAGTCTCTATTTCTAATCAAGGTTGGGACCAATCAAGCAGGATTCAGTCAAGTTTACACAATCATTAAAAAATACCTAGACTTTTGTTATCAATATTTACTGTCCACTTAGCTAATGTGGGTTCATCTTCAGGTCTGCTAACATGGCAACTGGTGAATTCAATTATCTGAATTCTTGGTGGCTTGCCACCACTGGCACTGTTATTGTAGGCTCTAGCTATTTGGAAGTACCTTCCACCCATTTATTCATGGATGTGTCAGGACTTGAGCTATGGCACAGTCTCCCAACTTTGTGGGAACTGTTACTGTCTTATCATGTTGTCTGGCTTTTATTAGCTTCCCACCCCAGACACAAAGCAGTGCTTTCCCTTGGGTAACTTGCTTGAGGCCGCGAAGCCTGCTCTGATGAAAGAGGTTTAATTATGGAGGTGGGTACTAATGCCAGAGGGAAATCTTACCTTTGGAAAGACTCTGGCAGGGAACAAAGAGGTGACTCTCAAGAGCATCCTCGTGTGACCTTCAAAAGAAACCACACATTTTTTCTTTATGCAGCTTGGTAGGGACTGCAAACTTTGCTGTAGTGGAGGAGTTCAGATTGTGGAGGTGGGTGCTTCAAATAGCACTTGCAGAGGGGTGCCTCATCTAATTTCCCTCGCTGAAAGCAATTTGAAGTTTCACTTTTGGTATAGTTTTATTGCCTTCTGAATTAAGAAGTTATTAAATTTAAATTTTTATTGCAAAGCTACTAACATACCATATCAGAGAGGTTTTTGCAGGTCTATTAAGTGTAAGGCGGATTTGATTCATTAAACTCTCAATTTTCTCTAAAGCCATGTACAAGTGTTTGTGGAAGCAAGCATTCCTAACCTTCTTTTGTAGGGGGAGGGGAGACTGTTCTAAACATAAGGGGAGAAAAAAGTCCTACCAGGATTTATTTGGGGGTCTCATAGGTGAGTTTACATGTTTTGCTCCCATGGAATTTTTGCTCAGCCAGTTACTCTATTTTAAAAATGTGTTTGAGGACCTGCCTTCTGTAAGTGCTCTGATCAGAATACAATACAAAGAAAAACAAGTACAGCCATAGCAGCTTGGGGACAGACATTTGGCACAGCAGTTAAGTTGCTGCTTGGGTTGCCTGCATCCCATATTAGAATGCCTGGTTCAAGACCCAGCCACCCTACTTGTAATCCAGCTTCCTGCTAATGCCAACCATGGGAGGCAGAAGGTGATGATTCAAGTACTCGGATTCCTGTAGCCCCCATGGGAGACCCAGATGCAGTTCCAGACTCCTGGCTTCAATCTGGCCCAGCCCCAGCAGTTGCAGGCATTTGGGGGACAACTCAGCAAATGGAAAGTCTTTCTGAGGGCTGGCTCTGTGGCTTAGTAGGTTAAGCTTCTTCCAGTAGTGCTGGCATCCCATATGGAAGCTGATTTGAGTCCCAGTTGTTCAACTTCTGATCCAGCTCCCTGCTAATCATCTGGGAGAGCAGTAGAAGATGGCCCAAGTCCTTGGGCCCCTCCATCCATGTGGGAGACCCAGAAAAAGCTCCTGGCTCCTGTCTTCAGATCAGCCCAGCTC